GTATATATATATATATATATATATGTATTTAACGCCTAAAGCCTAATTTTTATATTTATATTTAGGGACAAATGTATATGAATCACCTAAAGCTTGCTATTTGCAAATTTCACTCGGGATTTGTGTGCTTATCATCTAAAATATATTGATTACTAAATAGAATGTAACCTCATTGATAAAATAATATTATAAAAGACTATATGAGGAGAAATTGTTACATCTCATGTCTTCACATCGAGAAATTATTGCATACGGACACCGCATGCATCTCTGCATGCGGTGTCCGATCCTGACCGTAGATCACGGTGATCTACGGTCAAGATATATGTCAGTTTTTTTTTTATATAAAAAAATTTAGGTGAGGCCCCACCGAAATACATACTGACCGTAGATCGTCTGATCTATGGTCAGGATCGGACACCGCATACAGAGATGCATGCGGTGTTCCGTATGCAATAATTTTTCCTTCACATCAGGACTCGCGTGGTAATCCAGACAAAAAGTGGAAGGTGATGTGTCACCGGTCATAATAATTTTCCCTAACTGAGTGGTTGCAATCCAACACATCAAGTCAAATTTATTTGCTTGGTGATCCATATAATTTAATAATATTTGCTCACTCCATGTGAAGTATCACATGGAAATTTTGAATGATTTGTATATCACTTAATAAAGATGTATTTCGCTTAATTAATTTATCATTTACATCATCCTTAATTATATTCATAAAAAATAATTAGTTAATACATTTTTAAATATAATTGTCATTTATTAATGCATATATATTTATGTCCAATGAAATTTAGTTTTTTATAGGCTATTTTGTGTAATTAAAATTAAAATAAATATATAATAAAGCACTTATATATAGTTTTAAATGTTGTGAAAAAAATTTTGTGACGAAGCCCAAAACTTGACATAATATTTCATATCGAGTACGACTCCCCTCTCATCTTACTTTCTCTTCTTCTCTTCATCCCTTCTTGTTTGTGCTTACTATGGGATACCTCGACTTAATGCAAATATATCAGTGCATAAGCATGACACACTAAAACTTGAATTTAATGAAACTTGAGTTTGGTAGTCACCAGATCATGTTAAAAAGTTAAATGTGAATGACTTGAGTTTGTAGCTAGGGCGGTCAAAACGGCTTGTTGTTCGTGAACAACTAGTGTATAATTTTTTCATGCTCGATATATAAACGAGCTGAACACGAACAAAATTTTGTTCACCCGTGTTCAACTCATTTTGGCTAGAAATAATTAGATATATT